ATATTTGCAATGCATCGGTGACAATATTAATTAAAAATGCAACTTTAAGAATATTACTTTTTTAACAATATACAGTATCTTATGAATTGATATTTCTAAATTAAATTTTTAACATTTCTTCTTATGTAATATAATTTTAATTGATATTAAAAAATATGTTTAAACATCGATGTTATATTTCAGATCATATCAACTTACAGGAAGTACAAGAAGAGAAATGAAAAACGTGCTGATAATTTAAATTACTTCTTTACCAATCTGGGCATGCTAGGACAGATTATGCTGTATCTGATACCTGGTTTTCTGTTCTTCATATTTTTGCCTGCTTGTATCTTTGTCGTGTTCGAAGGTTGGGATTACGTTGCAGCTGTGTATTATGCCTTTGTTACTCTAACAACAATAGGATTTGGGGATTTAGTTGCAGGTAAGTTGATTTTTGTATTAGAACAATACGTAGTTTACTGGGTGGTAGCATTACTTGTCAAGGAGTTCATCTGGGTAACTTTTTTTATAACATAAGCGTGACAAACGAGCATACAGTTCATTTGATGGTAAGTGGATGCTGTGGCCCATAGACGTCTACATTTATCCTCGATTAAGAATTACAACGCAGATGAGTTGTCACCCCTGAGGACTAAGATGGAATGCCTTGTTTCCAGTGAAAAAGGGTCTCTGGATCTCTACACTCACCATACTAAACACAGCATATTAAGCTGCTATTTAACGCTGGTATTCTGTGAGAGCGATGTCCCTCCTCGGTCGATCCGACCCATTCGTGATACAACCATCATACACGTATCTGGTATATGTGTTTTTGCCGACAATCAGTAAAGAGTTTACCGAAGTTTTCCAGTCTGAAGGATATATTTCTTATATCCTTCAGACTGGAAAACTTCAGTAAACAAAAAAAAGTATTGTATTAGTCCTCAGATAGGCGGTAACAAATTGCTTCTTTCATTTCATTGGTGGAAGTTGGTTGTAGATACCGATGGATTGCCACTTGCAATTAGGTTGACTGTAAGTTTGTTTGCCACTTCAATTTTATAAAAAAACTTTCTTAAAAGGTTCTTGGTACAACAAAAACTAACATTTACGGTGGAATACTTAAATTTTAATTTTATTTTAAAAATTTCAGGAACTGTTAATAATGGGTTCAAGAATGGCTATTATTTCACTTACCAGATATTCCTCATAGTCTGGATCACATTTGGTCTGGGATATATTGTGATGTTACTCGGCTTTATTACCAGTGGAATGAGGTCTGAGCGAGTGCACAGATTAGAACAGAAACTGGCATATCAATTGAAATCAACCCAGAATAAAATATTCCAAGGTTTTACAAAAGATATTGCAGTAATAAGGAAGATCATTAATGAAGCAAATTTACTAAAGCTAAAGGTAAATAAAATATTTGTTTTATAGATTACAGCATGATATAACTGTCATTAATCATAATATTTACAAGATATAATGAAATCAATGTTGTTATTTATAGTTGAAAAGTTTTCCGGTTGTATGAGGAAATACTTAAATGTAGGTATTATTAATATCAAAGAAATAAAAATTTACAGTTTTAGAAAAAGGATAAATTTCAAATGCAATAAAATTTCTGATGCTATATAGGTGACGCAGGTCACTATTGTCTCCCATTTATGTTTAGAATTTCTGCGGTAGATTTAGAGTCTTATACAACTAAATCTCTGCTTAATAATTACTATAATATTTGGTTCATACTGATTACTTTTATTATTTTTAGCCAGTGTACGTAGAAACAACACCACATCTTCATAGAAGTGCCAGTTGTCCAATTTTAACCTTTGATGTAGAACCCAGGGGACCGGTTGTGAAGAGAAAGCGAGCCAACTCTGAGAACATTACGCTCTCTGTTAAGGATATGCTTCGTATTCAGTCAGATACTGATTTACTTGGAATTGATAAAGAAAAAACATTTACAGCTTCTGCTATAGTGAAGCCAGCGGAATTGTTAGCAAGGGTTGTAAATGTATTGGGTAGGTTTGAAGTACAAAATGAAAGAGGTATACATATGTTTGACGATAACCATATACTAGCAACCGAAATACCCCCCATATTTAGCATTGGTAGAGATGCTATAGCTACTTCTCCAAAAAGAACAAGAGCTTTAAGTGTAGCTGTTCCAAACTATAGAAAGGAATCCGTATCAAAATTAGATCACGATTTCACATGGACCAATGGTGATACCGCAGAAAAATACAGAAAGGAGGCAAATATGAGAAGTGGAAAGTTATCACTTCCTACAAAAATCAGTTCCGCAAACACTGAAAAAAATCAACAGTCAAAAAGTCTGTTTTCAAGAATGTTTAGAAAATCAAGTTCAAATGAAAGCCCTGCAGAATATATAAAAAACACTATGAAAGGCAGATTAAGTCTTGCGCATGGTGCTAATGAAAGTGTTCAAGAAAAGTCAAGACGTAGTAGCATGTTTCCGTCGTTTGGTCTTGGAGAAGAACAGAACCGCGATGAAAATGCATATAAAGATAAAACCAGGCGTGGAAGGTGCAGCATTTTTCAACTATTTGACTTTAATAAAGATTATGACGAAGAAGCAAAAGCTTATAAGGAGAAAACTAAGCATGGCCGGCATAGCATATTTCCAACATTTGATTTTTCAGAGGATGAAGATGTGGCAGCAGCTCAACATTATCAATATAAATCTAAAAGGCATAGCATTTTTCCTACATTTAATTTTAGTGGAGATGATGACGAAAATGCAAGACGTTATAAAGAAGGAACCAAGCGTGAAAGACACAGTATATTTCCTACGTTTGATTTTAGTAACCCTACGAGTAATGATGAAGATGATACGGTAGATGAAGATGAAGTAAAGAAATATCATAATCGGACACGAAAAGGACGACTTAGTCTATTTCCTACTTTTGGCAAGTCAAAGAAAGATGATGATGACACCCTGCCAGAAAGCTCCGATGAATTGGTGAATTATAAAGATAAAACACGTCATGGTCGAAGTAGTCTATTTCCCTCATTTGATAAATATAGGAAGGATAGTTCACCCTGCGGTAGTACCAGTGATCTTGAAACCAGCATTAGGCAGTATCAAAATAAAACTAAGTCAGGTAGAAATAGTTTATTCGCAGGGGATGTTCAAAGCTATAGACGAGCCACTGAAGGTGGCCGGAGGAGTCTGTTCTCAAATGATTTAGAGGAATATGGAAACATGACAAGACGTGGTCGTCCCAGTTTATTTGATTCTGATGTCGATTTAGCTAGTCTTTCAGAATCGGCACAAGTAGAAGTTTTGGAGCAAACTAGTGTAGCTGATTTACTTCGAGCGTTGGCAGCGTTAGAAACTGCCTCCCAAGTAGCTAACAGTACGATAGGGTCATCTGATGCACCTGATAATGCACAAAGCAGAAGACGTGGATCTCTAAGACCTGACTTTTCTATACCGTCAATGCCTAGTCGGATAGAACCAGAGGACGGAACTGGACCTAGGCGAAGAAGGATTTCTGCAAGAGCTGCAGCGCCACAATTCACGCCAACCCTAGCAACTGTAGTTGCTGGTGCGGAGTTACAAATAACAGCTGCAGCGGCACGAGAAAATAGGATGACGATGTTAAGTCATCCTCCACCCCCGTATTCAGAAAATTCGTCTGAGGGGGAACTTCAGCAAAATAAGACAAGAAGGTACTCACCTGCTCCAAATGACTCTAGTCGATCTACAGGTCCGATACCAAGACTTTTTTCCCGTATACGAAAAGAGAGCGGTTCAAGTACAGAATCCAGTTCTAGGCGAGGTAGCTTAACAGATATTGTAATTGATAGTAGTAGTAAGGATAAAACATAGTGTTTGTTCGAGTCTTCCTAGTGCAATATTTAAGTAATAAGTAAATTTTAAAATTAGTATAGTATCATGCCGTCCATATAGTAATTGCTTTGCAACATTCCTTAACGGAGGAGCTATTGCTCTATTTTTTTATTGAGATTATTCAATTTTGTACTGTTTATTGCTAACAATAAGGAACAGTTACTGTACAGTTTAAGATATATTTGTCTATTTATTGTAAGTAAAATGCAAGTGATATGTGATACGTTTTATTAGTACTTTCTGATAAACTGAGCCTTATATATACACATATACAACAATGAACAAAGTTGTATCTAGTCTTTACACTAATATAGTGTACAAAAAATATGAACACGGTTGATGAGCAGTCACTTTGATTGTATATCGAATATTTGAAAATATTAAGTGCCTTAACAACCGTCGTTAGGTAGGTATTTAATTATGATAGAAATTATGTAATATGGTTACAATTTGCTCTGATTTATAAAATGTATGGTGGTAAATTATTTATTTTAACTTAATGCAAAACAAAATAAACTACCCAAATGAATTAAATTATTTAAAAATTATTATGATAAATAAAGATTTAACAATAAAATGTGACTATCATTTTAACAGAATTTTCATTTTCAATTTTATAGAATAATTATTCTATGTACATCTGATACTCTCCAAGATGTTACCACTGAAATTGATTTTTTTTTAAATTTATCAAGAATCATTCTCGGCAGTCAAACAATTATTTTACTTAATCTTATTATGATTTTATAAAGATGTTTCAATAAATTATTGCAATAATAATAAGTGCATAAAATGCTTTTTAAATTTCATTTACGTATCTTTGCCTTCAAAATTTAGCGTTAATTTGTTCTTTTTTTAAACGATTTACACATGATGTCTAAACGTTAGAAAAAAATTAAATTAATAATTTCTTACAGTATATTTTAACATGAGTATTTAAGCACTTATAGTTAATACAAAATTGTCTTAAATCTATAGCTATTTACAAAAGACAACCGTCTTAAGATATTTACAATTCGTTGTGACCTCAGCAATAGAAAGTTCTATTTTGGTCACCGGTCTCTACAGCGCAACAGCTTTTACTGCTAATCGAAAACACAATTTACACAAAATCAGACGTGTTTGTCTTGAAGTTTCAAGTAGCTAAACTGTCCCTCCTGACGCTTTTATCCAGACTTAAGTTTGAATAGCACTGATCAATGTTTCCATTATCATCCTTAGTGAGAGATTCGAAAATAGAAATGAGGTTGTCGATACCGATGAGGTAGCCGTCTTCATGATTGCCAACTTTCCACGCGGAGTTGTGATCAATGGTTACGTTTTCAGGCACAGGGACAGTTTTTGCGAAGTCAATCATCCAAATAGAGGCTTTCCTTTTATCGTGAACAAAAAGCAATGAACTACCAATTAGTTCATGCGTTCTGAAGAAGTGTGATTCTATTAATGTCGCTCGAATGTTTTTCAGCCTTTCCAGGTACCTAGGCTATTGAAGAAAAGGAAATTAAATATTTACCCTTGTTGAAATAAAATTAAAATAAATTAGATTTTATTTATTCAAGTCCTATCAACTTTCATAGAGCTTATATAATTGGATTTCATAAAATCCATTATCAGTGACAAAGTTAAAAATTATTAATCATAATTATAGTACCAATGACTCATAAATAAAAGTAAAATTTAAAACTGACTAATAAAAAGCACTATTGTTATATATAATATGATGCAACTAAATTTGCTTACCACTGTATTTGGAAAACTACTAGTAAAATCTTGAAACGCTTCAAGTATTTGTTCAATAGTCTTTGTTGTCTTAAAGTCTTTTGAACTAGTCCCATCAGCTTTTTTCACTCCGTCTATTCTAAAGCCTAGTGTAGACGTCGAGCTGATGGTCTCCCTCCATATCATATATCTTGGCTTAGTAACACCTTTGCTTCTGTGTTCTTCTTCTGTCGGTGCTTTAGGATCTACTTGAATCATTTTTTCATACATGTCCTGTAATTAGTAAAACACGTCGAATTTAATTTTACAATAAATTGACGGATTTTTTTAATAGTTTTAATTTATAATATTGTTCTAATGCTACTTAGTAAATGTTGGGAGTTTCTCTTTTTATTAGCTTTCTTCGATGTTTGCGTGTATATTAAAGTACGGCAGCGACTTAATCCTCAGCGGTGACAACGCATTTGTAATCGAGAACAGATGTAATGTAGATGTCTATGGGCCGCAGCATCCACTTATCATCAGGTGGACTGTGTCGACCACACAGTCCGCCTTTGTCATTCTTATTCTATACAAAAAAAACTTACGTTCAGTAACCGCTACTATAAACTAGAAAAAAAAAATTACCGGGATCTTACACATCTAAAAAATAATTAAATAAACAAGGTAGGTGATATACTGCTTACATTTTTATTTTCTGTAGCCTCTCTCAAAAATTAGTACAGATTAGGCAGTGTTGTTTCACCACAAAAAACACATACAGTTGGTTCTGAGCCTGGTCTCCCTGCGGTCGGCCGTGTTAGTGGACTACCGTCACATCCGACTCTGAGAGAGCGAGTGTAAGAGTGACGGAACAGAGAGTGCACCTGTTCTTGCGCACACACCCTTACACTCCGTCAATACTCATCGAAATATAGAAATTTAATCTGGAGGACAATAAATACGAGTATACAGAGTAACATAATTTACCACTAAATATTTCATTTTATTTAGGCTATTTCTAAAGACAAGATAAATGAAAAATATGACTCAATAACTCTATAAAACCTGACATATATGTATGTGTATATTAGTTTTTATTGAATAAAATTATGATATAAAAGTTACGGGCAGTATTGAAACTGCAAAATTCTCAGTAATTATACTGTGACGGTGTAGGAGAATCTGTCGCTTCACTTCGTCACGTGGGTTTTTTTAATAGTAATAAATATCTACATTTGTTTTTGATAAAAAATTAAAAACAGACGCGTTGTAGTCCCTGAGGACTAACATCATTGACATACAAAAAAATCTAAGATTGACTGTTTCGTTTCCAGTAAAAAGAGTTTACGGTTCTCTATACTCACCATACCAAACACAGCAGTATTAAGCTGTATATTTTACGATGGTATTCTGTAAGAGCGCGGTCCTTCCTCGGTCGAACCGACTCATTCGTGCTTAACCATAACATAAGAAACGTCTATAGTGAATGTAAAACAGATCTAATGACTTCTGTATACATATATGGTGGTATGACCATCACTTTTCGCCAGGCGTAAATTACACAGGCCGACCACAAAGAGCAATGTTAAAGGTTCGAGACATGTGGTACTGCGATGTTCAATTCGCTAGCCAATATTAAGGCAACTCCTCCCCACAACCGGAAGGCATATGTCCGGCAGTAAATTTTGACAGGTTGATGAAAAAGAAGAGGAAAAAATATAACAGCTTTTTATAATTAATTGTGCACTTTACCTTACCTCACACAATTTATATAATATTAAAAAGAATATTATTCGTAGAAAAAAATAATACCATTGCAAAAAACATCTTTATCAAATGTTGTATAGTAAAAGGTACGGTAAGGGCCAGTCCGAGGCTAAATTAAAATTAATCCATAATTTTCACTTACTTTTCTCAATTTAGTTTTCTCTTTCGCTTTTGCTAATTCCTCCTCCAAATATGTCCTGACTCCAATCTTGCAATCCATCACACACGGGGAGTCAAAATCACTTAGTAGATCTTGAAGTTGCAGATATACTGTATTGGAAAAAATGCTAAGGAAATAGCTGATATATTTTTTGATATCTAATATTATAGCCTAATTCAGGTAGACGGTGTGACCAGATATGAAAAAAATTGATGGATACGGATGGCTTAGGACTGCGTTTTATTGCACACCATGTTGTATGCCTTGGGATATAATACATAAACACTCACGCCTGTCACCCAGAGGGGTAGGCAGAGACTACAAACTTCCATTTAGCACATAAAGAAGTAAGAGTAAGCTCTTTTCTTCAAGAAAAGAGCTTACTCTTTTCTAAAGGGCCGGCAACGCACCCGCAATTCTCCTAGTGTTGCGGTTGATCATGGGCGACGGTAGTCACTTAACATCAGGTGAGCCGCATGCTCGTTTGCCCCTTCTTCTATAAAATAAAAAAAAAATTTGCACGATCCTGACATACCTTTCTCGCCTCTTCCACATCCATATACCTACGCATTCATGCTCGTCGGTTAAGGGTACTCTTAATTTGGCCCATTTTTAGTATATCGCCAATTTGGTCGACAAACCTCCGCCTAGGTCGTCCCTTTCCGACTCTTCCATTCACTTCTTCAACATATATTTGCTTGTCAGCTTTCCGCATTCATTCTTTCTACATGACCAAACCACCGAAGCATTCCTTTCTTAATCCTGGTCACCGCATCATCTTGCAAACCACACTCTTCTTTTATCACACAGTTTCTCACCCTGTCACTCAGATTCAGCCCTAACATACTCCTTAGCGACCGCATTTCTACTGCATTTATTCTACTCTCGTGCTTCTTCTGCCACACCCAACTTTCACTACCATACGTTAAATTAGGGACTAATACGGCACTGTGAATCGCCATACGTGCCTTTTTTGACACATTCTGACTTTTCACAATAGAGTGTAGAGCCCCATTTACTTTATTTCCTGCATTCACTCGTCGTTCAATATCCTTATCATATCTCCCATCCCTGCTGAATACACATCCCAAATATACGAACTCATCCACTTGCTCAATTAACTCTCCTTCTATTCTTATTTCACATACCGTTTTGCTTTCTTCTCTTTCAAAAACCATCACTTTCGTCTTAATTTCGTTCACTTTCATTCCCCTTTTCTTTTAATGACCTGTTCATTAATGTAACCATCATTTGCAACTCGGCCGCCGACGACTCAAGTATGACTTGATCATCGGCGTACAAAAAGGCATTTGATGGTTAACTCACCCATTCTTAACCCGCATTCTTCAACTTTCAAATTTTCCAAACAGCTGTCCATAAATAGGTTGAACAGCCACGGGGAAGCTACACAGCCCTGTCTGACACCTTTATGGATGCCAAACCAGTCCGAGTAGACCCCGTTGATTCTAACACAAGCACTCGAGTCCCTATACAGAGACTTTAATGCCTGTATCAAACCAGCGCTCAACCTAAATGCGTTCAGCGTTTGCCATAACACATCCCTGTCCACTCTGTCATAAGCCTTTTCCAAGTCCATGAACGCACAAAAAACTTTTTGGTTTTTCGCCAAAAACTTCTCCGCAGTCATGCGCATGCAAAAGACTTGATCTGTACATCCCATTCCCTTTCTAAATCCAGCTTGCATATCCCAAATTTTTTCATCAGTTTCTTTCATAACTCTTTCAATTAGTACCTTAGCATACAGTTTTCCCACAATGCTAAGAAGGGCTGATACCACGGTAGTTTTTACAGTCCTGCTGTGACCCTTTTCCCTTATATATTGGGACTATCACCGCTTTGCACCATTCTCCCGGTACATATTCATCTTGTAACCTCTCAATTCTTATACGCTGTAACGCAGTGGTAGACACAGATGTCCTATGCCGCCAACGTCTGAATAAACCCCTAATTCGGCATAAGACCAGGTAGTGGTCCGTCCCTACGTTGGACCCCCGGTAAACCCTTGTATCCACCACTGCGCTCCTCATTCTTTCATCCACAGTTATGAAATCTATCATGCTTCTATCATCACCTCTTTCCCAAGTATACATGTGAATCTTCTTATGATGAAAGAAAGTGTTCGTCACAAAAAGATTCCTTTCCACACATACGGTGAGGAGGTTTTCACCATCCTCATTAATACTTTCATCACCAAACGTTCCCAGTATCCTTTCATAGCCAAGCCTCCTCACCCCAACCCTTCCATTAAAATCTCCTAACATAACAATATTTTCATTTTCCTTACATTTCATTAACACCATCCTTACCATCTCCCAAAACTGCTCTCGGATACAAGTGGGCTTAGACATGTCAGGGGCGTAGACCCCTAGAACAAACAACTTCTTTAGGCCCACTTTTATTCGTATCCATAGCAGTCTCGGGCTTACACATTCATACTAGTGGAATATGCATGATTTAATTTAATTAATTATATAACACTAAATTCTGATATATTTATTGATCTCTTAATTTTTGTATTCAATTTAATTCACTGCATATGTTTTACTTGTGTCTATTTTTTTGTAATGAAATGTGTGTAACACCCATAATTAAGTCTACATTTCGTTTTTATGATTTTTTGCAAAAATATTATGCTTTTGTTAGTGTGTCTTGTTGGTGTTAAATAAATAAATAAATAAATACTCTTTCACACATTGACCCATTCTTTCTGAAAGGATGATACCGACTCCCTGGCATGCTCGCTCGGTCTCGTCTACACCGGACCAGTAAGCGGTATATATGCCATGTGTAGTGACATCCTTTCCCTTCCGCTTCGTCTCATTTACACATAACACATCTATTCCTCTATCATACACCATATCGCATACTTCATCCATCTTATAGTTCATTGCTCCACATACATTCAGCGTCTAGCTGACGGGCCTCCGCAATCCTCTTTTCGCCCCTCCGGGAGACAGAACGTGACGGGTGGCGAACCTCGTCGCCGGTTTTCCTCCCGGAGATTCTTCGCACCCCTGCCGCATTAAAGGGGCGCCGGGGACTTGGGGCCATTTCTTTTACTTTTTGCCTCATGGTGCGAAAACTAGGGTGTGGCATATTTTACGCCGCTACCACACGGCGAGTAGCCGAGTCTGTTCTTTCGGCTTTGTCGCTCTTTTAGCACCACCCGGGGGGAAAAGTGTAGGGTGGGCCTAGGATTAGGTGGTCGCAGCGTACGGATGCGAGCGACTTATCCCCATTTAAGAAGAGGTTTAATAATAATGATGACGATAGCTTATTTCCACTGATAAATCAACTTTAATTATATTTAAAAATGTAATTATTTCTTTAATTTAAATATTTCGGAAAAGGATACATTCTCCATCCTCACATGTCACTTGACCCTTGTATTCAGGGACGAACGGCCGAAGGATGTCTTTCATCAGTAACTGAAAAAAGAACAAAAAGTATTTTTATATTGTGAAAAAAAGGAACAGCCACATACTTAGTTTCGCCCTTCGACCCATAGAAGTATAATGCTCGAAATGAGGTTCTCCTGTGTAGAAAGGACTTTTGAGTCGGCTCGACCGGGAACGGGCTACGCTCTCACAGAGTATTAGCGTAAAATAGCGGTTTTATCCCTGAGATATCACGGCTATATCTATAGCCTCCAACTTAAAGCTATTCATTTTTCTGTAATATCGACCTACATGTCTGAGAAAATAAAACATTTCCATGACATTTCAAGGCCTCCAACAGGCACTGGTGTAGCGCCCCGGACTAATGACCACGACTTTTTCTGCCATCAGGACACCACTTAAAAATGAAGTGTAATATTTGACAGATTTCAGAGCAGGGAAATTAATTTGTTTGAAAAATGTAAAGGTTAATGTTTCTTTCTGTATGTACTATTAATTATATTTTATATTACTTAGATTAAAAATAAATAAAGCAAACCACAGATATTTATAAAAGTGGAAAAATTAAAAAAAGAGTTAAAAATTTTCGAAAATTAAAACGCAAACTACAGAGGCATTGTTTTGTGTAAAATTATAAATACTCTAGAAACTGAAAAACTTTCATTTAAAACAAAACTCTCAGTACATTGAGTTACAAAAAAAAAACACCTCAGTGTCAACTTGCGAAAGATTATTTAGCCACCATTGTTCCATAACTCTATTTGTCAAAAATGAGAGGAGGCCTGTGCTCAGCATTGGGACGTATATAGGCTGTGTGTCTTTCCATATTTATATACATATACATAATTAAATACATACTATTTAGATACGTTTTTAAGAACCATATTAGTACAACACGCGGTATACAGAGATGCGTTAAATAATGCCTTAATTATCAAAACCGGTTAAAGAGTTAATAGGACAAATAGTTAATATGTATTCGTATAGGTACGCATATATGTTGACTAGGAAAACATAACCGTTCATGGTTTTACATGTTATCTATTTTATAGGCGTGACGTCTGTAGATAGCCTCTGTTTTAATTGAAGGCAAAACAAACACGGTTGCCTCAGTAAATAATAATTTAAAATCTTCTTGCTCTGACAGCTTCAATTAGGTAGTTTATTCACAGCAAGCAATTAATCACATAGTTTGCGATACGACTCGTATTTACATAACATGTTCTACTATTAGGAAATATATATATTATATTTTATTTATTTTACGTTACCTCCACGCTAGGATTTTCTCCTGTATCGTGGGGGCAGTTTACAAACATAAATTTGACAGGGACAAACATCCAGACTTGGAAGAATTATTTGTAGGCTATACAGAAACTTTTATATTCAATATGGATTATAAACAATACTTATTGAAAGTCACTTTTTTCATTTACCACTGGCTCGCAAAAACACCTCTGTCCTAGGAAAAACGAGCAAGAAACCCAGCGGGACTATTTTTTTTTCAAGTAATAGCTTACAATCATGTATGTTACTATTAACAACACAAAACAAATTAGAAATAGCTTGGTAGCGATCACCCTTCCCAGGGGTTATTATCGTCCATAAATTCAAATTACAAATACTCGTTCCGTGCAGGATTCGAACCCGTGGCCCTTAGCGCTGTAATTCATTGCTAAGCCACTGTGCCACGGAGCCGTCAAATACCACAGAATAAATTTATTTTCCGCAATATGTTAAAAATTATGGGATATGTTTGCATAATTAATTATCATCCTAGGAGGGTTAAGCATTTTTTTGTTTTTGTTATAAAAATTACATAAATTTCTCCTAGGGCGATGTTTGTAAATTTTAATTGCTTTGTTAAAGGTTTTAATAAACAGTTGTGGTGGTAGTTCTTTTTGCTTTTCTGTCCTCCAAAACTCTCTTAAATATGTTAGCTGCGTGTATTGGCGGTATATATATAGACCATTGGTTCTTAACCTTTTAGTGATAAGGGACCATTTGACGGTTTTTTGTCTTGCCACGGAGCACGGACCACTAACATTATGGTAAACTAGATTTTTATATTTGTTTTATAAATAAAACACATAAAAAAACTTAATGTGGGCCGTTATTGTTAATTACCCCTACTTTAATATCTCAACAGCTTGTATTTTAGCCGCGTTGGCGATATCTGCATACCGACCATCTCCAAAAATGTTTTCGACTTTTTTATATGTCAGAGAACTGTATGATACCTTCGTGGACCTCTTCGGGTGCCTTTAAGGACCACCAGTGGTCCATGGACCATCGGTTAGGAACCACTAATATAGACAGTTAATGTAATATTCTCTTTACTATTTTTGTTTAATACAAGTGATAGACGGTTCGCCTATATTTAACACAATGCTAGAAATATGTGAAAAGTAACAGAAAGTTAAACCGAAAGATAAAAATTCAAAATTATTTTTAATCAAGGACAAATTATAATTTGACTGTATTACGTATTATCTGTTGAAACGGAAAAGATTGGCTTAAAAAAATACGCTCGCTCACGACTCGCAATATTGTTTAAAAAAAACATAGATTTTCACAATCGTAACCTTAGACGTGCTCATGATATATACATACAAAAATTTAGAACAGAGTATGGTAGGAAAAATACAATGTTTGACGGTGCAAAACTGTATAACGCTTTACCTAAAAATATAAAAGAATCAAAAACATTATCTTTATTTAAAAACTTATTGAAACGCCATATTTTGGAAAATTAACCAAAAAAAAAATACAAGCTAAAATTAAATCTAAATTAGTTTCTACGCACCCTTATTTCTGTTTCTCGGTCATTACAATTTGTGCGCGATGTTCAAACCTATGTTTACTGTTCTTTTAATTGATTACGTTTTACCTACATCTATAGTTAATATTCTGTATGCTTGTAATGGATTCCTTTATTTTTTTTGTAAATTTTTAATTTCTCGTAAACGATTTGTAATCTTTTGAGAAATAAATAATGTCTTAAACCTAAGATTTGCTTAATGCAATCTAAAGGACACAATTTTTTTCTATGTTAAAACTTGAATAAAGTTATGAATAAATACATTAGTATGTAGTAGTGGCGCTTCAGTTTAATTTATTGAATAACATTACAATGAAAATATTATTGCAGTATTATAAAATAATATCACACTTTAATACAAACAATTCTTGTAGATAAATGTCACCATTGAAATAGTGCGTCAAAACTTTCCTCACAGACTAAAAATATTCTTTTTATGTCTTTTAATCTCATCTCCTTTTCTTTAGATTTTTTTTTATTTCAATAACTTCTTGCTTGATACAGTACTCAGTACTTTACATTAATATGCATATTTTTTTATTATTTCATTACAGATTTTTACAACAAAACTCTGTATAATTTAGGTCAACATAATACAATTATAGAGGGAAAACTTAAGACGTGGTAAAGCCACGCTGCAACATTATAATGGTTGTACCACGAATGGGTCGGCTTGCCGGTGTAGGCCCGCGCACTCTCAGAATAATAACGTAAAATATTAACTTAATGCTGCTGTGTTTCGTATGGTGAGTGTAGAGAACCGGAGACTGTTTTTACTGGAAACGAGGCATTCCATCTTAGTCCTCAGGGGTGACAACGCATCTGCATTTTTAGTCTTAATGGAGGATGAATGTAGATGTCTATGGACAATAGCAACCACTTACTCTGGTTATTGGATAGATTTGGATAGGTCTCGTACTCTGGTTCTGTACTCGAATAGCCATCGTAGCACTACTGCACAAACACTTCAGCACTTCGATACATCGATAGTCAACTTGGCATCGCTGAAAGGACTGCAGCACCGTCCAAATTTCGACGGAATCAAAAGTTTTCTCATAGTCCACATACGCACGGCAAAGTGGTAGATTGTACTCTTCGGTCTTCTGTACAATCTACCGCAGGGTATGTATGTGGTCTATGGTACTGAAGCTTTTTCGGAAACCGGCTTGTTCGGAAGGCTGGAAGTCGTCGAGTCTGCTTGCGAGACGATTCGTAATGACTCTCGAAAACAGCACGCAGACGCGTCTCAGAAGGAAAATCGGTTTGGACTTTTTCATGAGAGCGTTATCGCCTTTCAAGAACAAGACCACCGCAATTCTGCTCCACGCCTATGGAGTAGTGCCACCATGGGGGACGGTTTATTCGGTTTCCCACCCGCTTTCAGAAACTCCACTGTAATTCCATCGTCGCCCAGAGAGTTGTCGTTTTTAATGTTTTACTTCACATCGTGTTCTCGAAATACAATATTTCATTCTTCAGACACACAAATTTCTAAACTTGTTTTTCTTCATTCCGTAACAACAAACAAAGTGTCGCGAACGCGCATCCCCTGTTCATCTACAACTTAACTAAATGCCAAAATTAAATATACTGTGAAATTTTTTAACTTCTTACCAATGCCAACTTTTTATCAATGTATAATGATCTATATAGGGTTATTTTGCAATAACCGGCCAAATTTACAGTGAATGTTCAGAAAAGTAGTATAGACAAATGGTGAAGAAAAGTCTATAAAAAAAAAACTAAAACATTCTGTCCTGTTTATCTTTTAAATACAAAATTTGTGGTAATGCGTAAGGGTCGATCGGCAGGTAAAAAGTTGTTTGCCATAAATCAAATTCATTTTGGAATAATTTCAAACAAAATTAAAAGCATTATAATCTCATATTTTCAAAAACTGCAATAACGGTATATCATTATTTATATATTTGAACTTAAGTTTAAAATTTGGCTACTCTTTGAAAAATAACACTTTATGTAAGCAAAACTGGCTGACTAACTCATCACGATATCTCTAAAACTAACCCGATTGACTTGAAAATTCTGCGATAAATCTCTAAAAATTTTGCGTTAGCCGCATAGAAAAAATGTCTTGATAGTTTATATCTAAGTTATTAACGTCTATTATCGTGCACCCAGCGAAGCGAGCACGTATCAAGTAGTAGTATTTATAAAGATAAATAATAGCACACATAGTAAAGAGCCTACTTCAGCTAGTGTGCCTGCCTACCTTAGCAGTAAATAAATCATTAAATAAATAAAAATAAATACTTATAGAGTATAGTATGTTATGGTCAACAGGTTTTGTAAACATAGTATACGTGCGTCATTACATTATACAATCAATAGAATAATCGATAAAAATACTTAGGATTCCTTTCTGTATTTAATGAATAGAGGTGTGTCAGATTTTACGCAGTCAATGTAGACACGTGAAATTGAGACAATACAGGTAAAGTGGTAAAGTACAATAGTAATTTTCATATAAAGCGATGTTATTTGATACATCATGACTGTTGTGACCCGTTCGGTGACATTTGGGCGTCACATGCATTGTTACAGAGCTATTTCCAAATCGAATAATTAATTAGAATGACATGAGTGTGTTTTTAAATCGAGTTAATTTTCTCTTTGAAAGGTACCTAGTTCGGAATTTCACTACAATGTATATTTTTACAATAGACAGCTATCATTCATTGACTCTCGCTTAATTTTTCACCTTCGTAGAGTTTAAAATAGCTCCCACCTTCATTTGTAAATTATAATTCGTATATTTAGGTAGCTGTGGTTAAGTTAAATGATTTTGAATATAACCATTTTATAAAGACAGTAATGGCTTAATAAGCTAATACAAAGGTAATTTGTTAATAAATGAAACATATTTATTTCTTTTACGAATCATATATAAGAAATATATTTTTTTTGCAAAATACATATTAAATATATTATTATATTTAATATGTATTTTGCATACCATACTAAGTACATTATATCCATATAGTTTGAAGAACCGACAACTGTTGGGGAAAAAAGGTTCTCGATTGGCAGCTTCGTACCGGTAGGCGAAGTGTAGGGCGACCCCCCACTAGATGGAGTGACGACCTGGTAAGACATGCGGGAAGTCGATGGATGCAGGTGGCTCAGGACCGTGCTTCGTTGCATACCTTGGGGGAGGCCTATGTTCAGCAGTGGACTTGTGAACGGCTGTAATGATGATGATAATGATGATGATGATTCATAATATGGGAGGGCATTTTGAATAGTGTAAATAAAACTGTATCCTAAATTAAATTATCTTTTATTTCATATATAATTCCTATACAAGATCTTTATAAAAAGTTTTTGACAGACTTATGACCCTGTCTAAAGTATAAACGCTTTGCGATTCAGATACTGCTCACTGTATCTCATCAGCAACGATCCTGACTTGTCATATGACTAAATGCCGGAGGTCTAAATCTTGCATACTCATACCCCAAATATAGGGCTGTAATGATGATGATGATGATGAAGTATATTATATGTTATACACATAACATACATTTATAATTATTAAAATCTAAGTTATTGTTATGTAGAGTTTCTTTAGTGAAGTTTTGCAATAATGCGGTGAGAAGGGACACAAAATAATCTAGCAGTATTTTTCGTTTAATGGGTTTCCTAAGAGGAAACTATGAGAAAGACCAGAATTATTACAACCTGCAGCCTAAATACATCCCACTCCTGGGCACATGCCTCTTCTCATAACTTAGGTTTTAGTGCAAGGAAGTGTCCGCCGCGCTGCCCCAATGCGTTTTAGCGGACTACACATGTCGATTTTTCTCAGACATGCAGGTTTCCTCACCACGATCTCGTAATAGGGCCTATACTACCTCAAATGGCTTAGCAAGATTCTACGTTATGTCGAAAATATTGCAGCATTAATTTTAAAATAAATATATGGTAAAGTTGAGGATTAATGTTAAGTACTATGTTAGACGAAAACACGATTCCGTAAAATTTTCTCGATAGAAAAAAATCTAAAGTTACCTCCAAACCGAACAATAAACCGCTGATATTCACAAAATACTTTAATTTAGATCATGAAACTTGCATACTAACTGAACTAACTATAAAGCAGGGCTTATGTTTTTTTTTAATTACCATCATTTTTACTGTAAAAAGAAATTACTTAAACTATCAACATCCTAAAGTTTATTCCCTGCCGCCCAATACAGCCAACTACCAATACTGCCGCACAGTCTCGCTTCGGCTTTCGAACGGGAAAGCTGTGTCGCTTACGATCAGAATACACATTACCTAACAGGGCGACGTAAAATTAAAATTGGAAATAACCGTAATAAAAATAAGAAGCGACTGCGTTGGCTTAAAGAAACAGGTATAAATATGATACACCTAATGAAATAATAATCTAACGACCTATCTACTTACAGTATTAGTGATTACCAACATGTCGGCAGATAGCATATGGACGCGCGGAGAAGTGGGGGCGAAATTAGAATTTGAGCTGAGGTAGTATAGGCCCTTAATATAATATAATAGGTGACAGGGGCAACGGCAAAAAAACATTCAGTAACTACGGCATTCGCTAATCTGTCTGCTAAGCGTGACGATTATGACAAATCCTTCCAACAAAAAGAAATGCTCATACCCAGCTCGACCTTAGTGGACTGGGAAACTCGTGTGGCTTATAAAGAAAATGCAGTCATAATAAAATGTATAATATCTTAACCAAATTATAGTTAGTAATGTAATTATACAAAAGTTAAGTTAAAAAAAGATTGTTATCAAATTTCAACTAAGGTTAAATTTCGTTTTATTGAATAATACTCGTATATCTATTTTAAACAACGTGTGACGCATTTTAGGAATCGAATATGCCCAAACTCGTGTTTTCGATTGACGTCAATGGTAACGAACATAATATACTATAGCGTTAAATACCGTTTACATTGTGAAATTTTATTCAAACTGTCAGCAGAAGTAAATTTTCAACTAATTATTTGACTCTAATTTGCATTCATCTAAAATTAACCGGTTTATATATCTGATAAGAAATATTTTAAACATTTTTGGAGTTAAAACGTCGAATAAACAAATCGTCAGATAAGAAAATTATGCAGTAGCATTTTTTTATAGAATAGGGTGACAAACGAGCACACAGTCCACCTGATGGTAAGTGGTTGCTGTGACCCATAGACATCTACATCTATCCTCGATTACAAATCAAAATGCAGATGCGTTGTCACCCGTGAGAACTAAGATGGAATATCTCGTTTCCAGTAAAAAGGGTTTCGGGTTCTCTACACTCGCCATACGAAATACAGCAGCATTAAGTTATTATTTCATGCTGGTATTCTGTGAGAGCGTGGTCCGTCTCCGGTCGAGCCGACCCATTCGTGCTACAACTATACTACTAATATAACTGCAGCATGGCTCTACCACGTAAAAAAAGTATACCTACACGACCGCTAACAAGTGCTAGAAGTGACCGCACTTCTTGAACTCAAAGGCAAAACCGAATAGTATCAAAATGTACACCGCGATTACACATCTTTACATTAAAATTTGTTCCAAATAACATTTTATTCTAAACGAAATAATTATTTAGTTTTTTTTTTTAGAAATGTACGAACGTTATCGAAACAAGTCCCTCCTTGTCATTAATAATTTACTTTGTATATTAACGGAAATACTTTTAATTTTTACTAATGGTAAAACCCAGCTGCCAACCATTTTTATTCACTCTACTTTTTACGAAACCACTAACTAAAAAACCTCCACATCGGATAATAAATTACAATGAAAAGAAATTATTTAACCGCAAATAAAGACGTCAGCGTATGATTATTAAAAATGAATATTGCATTCATTAAAGTAAATAGTGTTAATTTAAAACCACAAGGTGAATCTCTAGGTCTTGTTTGACGTAAAGGCGTTCAATGTTGGTCACCTCAATTACTGTTATCAGTATGCGATTATATTTATTTCATTTATTGACGACCCTTTGTCATGTCCTATTAAAAATCCTTAAATTGGCGAAAAAATTGTGGGTCACTCATGGGCAAAAAAAAAAACTATCCTATTTCTCAAGTTGGACCAAACTGCATACGGTATGCAAATTTGATTAAAATCGGTTAAGTAGTTTAGGAGTCCATCGCGGACAAACAACGTGACACGTAATTTATATATATTAAGATTTACCAAGTTTCTACACAAGTCATAGGAAAGGGACATCCTAGGCGAAAGTTTATTGATCAAGGTGGCGATATATTGAAAACGGGCCAAATTAGCTCTTAACCGACGAACTCGTATGCGTAGGTATATGGATGTGGAGAAGGCGAGAGAGGTGTGTCAGGATCGTGCCAAATGGAAGTTTGTAGTCTCTGCCTACCGCTCTGGGTGACAGGCGTGAGTGTTTATGTTATGTTATGTCGTAGGAAGTTACGATACACTAACGGGTCGTAATCCATTCATCTTAATTCTTAAAGATACACGCTATGCAGCAGTAGCGTTTCTTCAAGTTAGTTGCACTTAAGTAGCCTGTTACAATAAGATGTTACCATTGATGGTTACAAATTTTTGAACAGCGATCAGTTTAACAATTTAATCTATTCTTCACCTGAAAACACCTCTCCTCTTGTGGACAGAGCTTCTTCAATATCGTTCCTTGGTCTGGTCCAGCCTTAAAATTTCCCTGGTGCCCAGCAAGCTGAATCCACGGATACCGCTGCTTTTTGTAGGTTTGGAAGAACGGAGTCCACTGCACGATGTTACGAAGCTTGCGCCATCGTTCTGACTGCTGAAAAAAGATGAATAATTTGCTGTGTTATATACTGTTGAGTGAAATATCATGTTAGTACGTAAAAATTAAGGGTGAAACGCAAAATAAAACAAAGTTGTACTCAAAGAGCGTAAAGTAGCAAACTCCACCTCATTTTGACCCTACTAACTGGTAAATGAGGCTTAAAAAACCGATCGATGGCGGAAACCGATCCATAACGAAAGAGCACAAATAATCAAATTTCGGGTATTACGTTCCGTCTACCATCTAAAGAACCGTGATAAATAGACAGCCAGACAAACATCCAGACAGACAGTAAAATTAATAGGGCTCCGTTTTACCTTTTGTGTACGGAACCCTAAAAAGCATCTAATTAGATGTCTAAAGTATCTAAGCATAAAAAATAATTGGTTAAATACTCGTATGTACTAAGGTCGATATAATAATTAATTGCTGACGTATTTTCCAGGAAAGTGGAAATTCCTAAAACCCAATACAAGTCACTAACACGTTAAGAATTTTTTCCTGCTATAACCAAAATATGTTAATCCCATTGCTACTCCATTTCATAATGATTCAGACGTAATTCTCATAATGATAAAACTCGTTTTTAAAAATGTTTTAACGATGCACTAATATATAATGCTGTAATATGATTCTAACAACAAACTACCCGATATCTAAAGCGTTGCCGTTAGTATATTTTCGGTAAAAATTATGAAAGCGTTTTCCATCTGAGGCTAAATGATTCTTAAAGACCGTGTAAAGCCGTTTAAGCCGCTTTAGCTAGAGGCTATGCACTCGCCGTAAATTTCACAGCATGAGAGCATAGAATAGAAAATAATAGAATATTATTTAGTCACTACAGATTATAAAATATTTATTCATCATCATGATCATGATGATTACAGCCCTTCTACATTCCACTGTTGAACAAAGGCCTTCTCCAAAGACTGCCACAAAGCACGGTCCTGAGCCACCTGCATCCATCGACTTACTGCATATCTTACCAGGTCGTCACATCTAGTGGAGGGCCGCCCTACGCTTTGCTTACCGGAACGAGGTTTGCTACTCGTGAACCTTTTCTTACTAATCCGTTTTTAATTACTTATTTTTGTTATATATAATCATTAATGCTTTTACTATTGGTTCGGAAATAAACTCTGTTCTGGGAAGAACCAGCTAGAAACCCAGCGGGACTTTTTTGAACATAAAATTAGTTGTACATATACAAGAAACAGCATGGTAGCAATCACCTCATTTTCAGGGGATATCAATCTTGAACTCTTTAGTAGTATAATAATCCTTATTAAATAATTTTCATCTAATAAAATTTTTTAGCCTTTTGATAGATAAGGCCTGTCTGGGTTAATTTGATATTTTAAGAGTTATTCACGTGCTCGGAGGTGAACATAGATACACAACGTGAGAAATGCATGAGAATACATGCCTGAAAATAAAATATTCCGAGGACCTGTGAAGTTCACTAACATGAACTGAACCAGTGCGGCGGACTTATTGCTCCATCCATAGGTACAAGACGCACGACGTATCAGGCTGCATATTTACTAGTTCCTCGTTGCCTCTAATGACTTTCTGATGCAATTCTTAGCATGTAGTATTTTGACGCTTTTGCCATTCAGTCGGACCACAACAAGTTACCTAGATTTATAATTAAATAAGTTTTTGAGTAACAATTTTTTCAAAGTATTAAGTCAGAGTCGTGGGATTAAAAGTAATTGTAGTAAATAATATAGTGATGAGACGATTAATTCTGTTTAAATAGAATATATTTATAATGTGTTTAAATATTATCGTTTTAAAATTGTTCGTCTTTAAAAGTTATTGTTACGAAATCTAGGCCGCCGGTATTTTAGGAGATTCTTACAAGATAGAAGATCAGCAACAACCTTTGTCACAAAGAGTTACATTTTGTGACATTTAGAATTTTAGAACTTTTAAAATAGAATAGAAAAATAGAATTCCGGGTCCAAATGAGTTAGTTTAGTTTTATGGTAAGGAATCCTTAGTAGGAGGCCAGAGTTAGAAAATTGACGATATTTCACCCCCGCGCCTCGGAAAACACGTAAAGCTTTGAAAAGTATAAGCGTGAGGGAAAAGAGCACACACTTGCGCACACACTTGTACATTATAATTTTGTAACCAGAAACGCATGGTCCGTCTAGACTGGCTACTGTGATAAAATATTCTTCAATGTTTTGTAGTCAGATTTGTTAGTACAAACCCACAAAATATAATTTTTCAAAATAATGTAGATTTTGAATGAAAAATTGACGTATTTTGATTGATGAAATCAACTTAGCTTTTAAACTAATGTTCTATATCTGATCCGTACAAAATAAGGTTTTGATGTAATTATTTAAACTGAGATTTTATTTATTCATGTACTTGTGATATTGCTTTAACCACTCAAATTGGTAAAATAAACCGACTTAAAACTAAAATAGAATAAAATAATTTCCAAATAATATATTCTTAACTCGATGGTAAGATATTTTTATTATAGAATAAGGTGGACCAACGAGCACATAGTCCACCTGATGATAAGTGGATGCTGTGGCCCATAGACATCTACATTTATCCTCGATTAAGAATTAAAACGTAGATGCGTTATCACTTATCACCCCTGAGGACTAAGGTGGAATGCCTCGTTTCCAGTAAAAAAGGGTCTCTGGATCTCTACACTCAGCATACGAAACACAGCAGTATTAACCTGCTATTTTACGCTGGTGTTCTGTGAGAGCGTGTTTCGTCCCCGGTCGAGCTGACCCATTCGTTCTACAACCATAATATACCTGCAGCGTGACTCTATCACGTATGCAAATATGAAACAAAAAATGAATTTCCTGTAAGTTCATTAAAAGTTAAACTATTTGTTTTATTTTGTTAAGCTACAACCCTATACCATCCCGTGGGTGTAGTAAGGGGCGACAAGGGGAAACTTAAACAGGGTGAAAGATAGCGAAATTTTCCTTATAACAATTAAAAATAATTAAAAGCTATTGTTGCCAACCCGCTTGCCAGGCGTGGCATGGTAACTGTTGCAAATATCCCCTTTATGAGGCAATCTATGGGGGAGGCGTGTGTTAACGTACTTTGCACTTTCAATCCTTGAATTATTTTTTTCAAATAGATTTAAGAGGATACCTTGAAAATAAATCGTAATTTTGGAGGCGTGGCTTATTCTTTTGTCGGTGAAGCTCACGGACGACTGAGGGAGTGTCAAAATGAAAGTGATGCAATGACTTCATATTACACAAATTATGAGATAGCTATACCGGGCACACGCTCGGATAAAAACTAAGTAAGCGCCAAACAACATTTTTATTTTTTGTAACAAAACTACGTTATGGATTAAAAAATGGTTTATGAGAACTTAGATATGATTATTTACTATGCCTTAAAAATAATTCCGTGAACTTATTCTTAAAATTATTGTGGTTTCATGCAAAAATGTAACTAATTAGAGCCTACTTTGCAATTTTTTTCTATCGAGAAAATTTTATGATATCGTGTTTTCCTTTTATGCAATCCAAGTTCATATAGTCAAAAACCATATACCAAAATTTTGGTTTGTAATCTATAAAACTTTAAAAAAAATGTGAAATAGAAAAACTATTAAATTTTCAAAGTATCACCTTAAGTAAGTTACCTCAACCCTCTAGGGAACTATCCTCTCTCAAAACACCTACTTATGTTTATTTATTTTTGTTAATTTATATTAAATAATAGGAAATAATAGTATTACTGGGATATTAATAAATAAATTAGGTAATTATATTATGTAACTTCCTTCCAATGGAGGATTTAACTCCTCCTACCGCTTCCCCTAATCCATATTGTATTTGAATTTACCCTGAGATAAAATTACTTTCTTTGCAATATAAATAAAAAATATATAAAACTGACAAGAATAAAATATATTAAAAATAGTAAGTAAGTACCTTTTTATTTTGGAAAATATAAACCCAGAAGACCACATCCACGAAATCGTCAATGTGAAAGCAAATATTACCCGACAACATTGTAAAAATAATCAAAACTATAATATCCAGATAAACGACAACACTTTAATTCACAACACTATTCTTTCAGATTACTACAATAAAATTCAAATTCTCCCAGCAGTATCTATTGCAAATCACACACTAGACAGTACTGAGCATTGCAAGGAACAGAACGATAATATAAACCATAATATCTGTTGTTCTGACTCAGTTGAAAAGGCAAAGCTAAACGTGACGTCAACGCTGCGCGTTGGATTACAGGACCGATTGGAGGTGTTCACAGTCTTAATTGCAATGCGGGTTGCGGTTTTATTCTTGTTAATTAAATAAGTTTCCGAGAGACAAATCAACTTTTACCGGGATAGGGCTTCGTTAATGTTGAGTGACTTTGTCAAAAATAGTTTGTTTAAAAGCTACAACTATTGTGGATTCGTTATTAAGTTAATAAAATGTTAGAAAATATTATATAATATAAATCATGCAAATAGGGTAGGGTCTCTTTCTCCCTCTCTCTCTCTCTCTCTCTCTCTCTTCCTTTCTCTCTGTCTAGTAAGGGATTGCTATAACTATTGCTGTTATTATTTGTGTTGCTAAGGAGTAGGTAATGTATCCCATGTCATATAACACAAAGTAGATGTTTCGAAATGGGCCAGGTTTATGTACACTACCTCAAGAAAAAGAGAAAAATCTGTAGAATTCGGGAAAAATACAGGCCCATGGAGCACAGGCTCCATACATTTTGGAACATCTCAATTGTTATTATCAGTCACTAGCGATCCGCCCAGGCTTCGCACGGGTGATTCCTAGATCTCCACAGCAGTGCCATCTGCCGGTTTCAATTGAGTTTCTAAGCCATCCATCAAATTTACTATTTAAATCGTTCCAGCCGTTTTCGAGTTTTAACGAGACTTTAACGGACAGTAATTCTTCTTTTGACGATAACGGAGGCCTCTTCTGTGGTGGATGGTACCAAATTCTGGGTTTGTGGTT